ATGGAACAACCTACTTGGCAAAAGCAAGCATACACACCTCTGTGCAGGAAAAATGATTGAGGTGTGCAATTGTACAAAATCAACATTAACTTTGATTATAGAACTGAAGATTTAGTCAAATGCCCTAAGCATAAAAAAGCAATGGTTATGGAAAGAAAAGCCAATCTGGAAAATGAAGAGCGGTTGCACATAATTGTTAGCAATCGCATAGTAACTAACTCTGGTTCTCACAATCACAAATCTGTTTTTTCTCCAAAAAACACAACCGACCGGTACAATAACAAGTTTTGTAGAATTTCATGATCGAATAACGGCAAAGCTGCCCAGTTTGGAATAAAGAGAATACTTTTTCCCTTTTTTTGCCTCAAGAACATGCATAAATTTGCACCACATACTCCAAAAAGGACTCGTTGCTCGTGGCTAATCAGCCACGAATTCTCAGCAACTTATTCAAGGATACGGGTCACATATGAAATAAATATAAGAAAATTACATCAGTATTTTTATTCTGATTATTTATTTATTTTGTCTTTATAATTTTTTATCGAGCAAAAATTTCTTTGCCCCCAACTAACCAGCTTATCAACTTACCCGTTTTGTGAATCTTCGGATTCTGACATGAAGAATGATACCAAGCAGAGTGACTGCCCACAGCACCCTGTAGGGTTGTGATGTGAGACCCACCACTCAGGTGCCTCGGTGATTGCATACCTGGATATTTACGATGAACAAATAATATCATAAAAACTGGGTGACATAATTTAAAAATATATAAAGCAGCATCCTACTCAATTTGCATTAAAGTAGTATGTAGTGTATGCTTCATTATTTTACTGATAATTTATTTGTCTGCGAGAAGCGGAAAAAGGGCATTTGTTAATATTAATAAAGAGCAAATTCCATTCAGCTGACTTCAAGAATTGCTTTTTTATAGGATTTTATTGTAATATTTTTACTTTGCACATTAAGTAAGCAATAAAAGTAGATACAACGAGCTTCTGGCCAATGGCTACAGTAAGGAAGATAATAATATAAAAAGGATACTTTGACGAGCTAGGCCATAAAATTGGCAAGTATTCGAAAAGAAACAAGTAATCTCACAATTGTGTGTGGACCGATTTCGGCGTTGTGTGGTTTTGCTTAAGACAAGGGTGCATTAATGGAAATGCCGAATGGCACTTTGTTTTGAAAGACGGCTGCAGCTCTACTACTGCCAGCAGCTGTAAGTTGAGGCTCACTTGCACTGACAACTCCGGCAAAACTGGGTAACTGCTTCTTTCCGCCCACCTGGTGACAACTCAAGCCGAAACGGACACATCCGGAGACTGTCACCTCTGAAAAAAGGCGGCGTTTAGTAAACACCGGAAAATAGATTACGAACAACTGGACAGAGCAGGATGTGCCAACGCCTGACTGGTCGGTGTAAGTCTGAAAGCAACTTAACGACAAATGGTACTTTTGTGCAATCAGACGCATGTAGACACAGACAACACTACATATAAACACCAACATGCTTACACTCGCAACACGACATCTGAGCTTGTGGCAGGCGGTAAGAAGCTAAGGTCGCCGACTAGACTGATGGCGCGAGGATTAAAAGAGAGGTTCGTCCTTTGGAATGGAAAGAAACCTTATCAACCATAAGGTTGCCAGGTAAACGGTAGGGTAAACAACCGTACAAG